ACTCTTGCCAACAGCTTGAGAGGCAGCTGAGAACACCTAGGGCAATCCAGAATCACTGGCAATTCAGCAAGTTAAGTGAAATACCAGCTTGCATGGTTTTAAGGATTCTGTGAAACTGGAAGGACTTATGGGCAACTGCAGTGAATTCTAGCCATCTGGTCATTGAAGAATCCACAGCATCTCTGGGAAAAGTAGGTCAAGATATTAGTTTCATAATCCAGGTCTCAACTTTGGAATGTTTTCTACTTATCTGAATTCCATTACAGCTATCTGTTGCTCTTTAATGATATTTGGAGCATCTTAATGATGTAGAAGACAAAACAGATTGCATAGTTTTCCTTTTACATTCTGAAGCAAAACTAAAAATCAAAACTAAAGCAGAATTCACATACATTTTCTGTAGGAAATTATAATGTATATATTTCCTGTATGTGGCTAGGTACACATTTCTTAACGTCAAAGCACGTTTTTTCAAAGGACAGACTTTTTAACTTTCCTGCCTTCCTATTTACTGAAAAGACACTGTAATAAGATTTATTAAAAAGGCAAAAAATTGTGAAATACCTCAAGAGCCGGTAGATCATTGTATGGTATCACTTCAAAACCTGGCATAAAGGGTCCAAAGCCATCATAACTGGATGGGTCAGTAGAACTAGAGATAGCAGACATTGTTCTACCCCAGAAGTTGCCAGCTAGAAGAAAGATAATTATCGAGTCTTTAGCCAACAAAGTTATGATGCGTTCTCAACTAAGATAGCTGACAGCAGTATGTTGCAAAACTAAGAGCTAGAACAGTTTATAGGACAATTAACACCACACTTCCTAGTTGGTAATGTATTTTAAGAGTCATGTTACATTATCATCCTTCTGCCAATTGTTAGCATTTTACATTGATCCTATAAATATACCATGTTGATATATCAAAAGCACAGTGGAAAAACAAAAGAAAACTATACTATAAGAGCTGGCAAGTATACAGAGTTTCTGCAAGCTTTGTTAATAACCTGAGACACTGAAAATAACTCAGGCAGATAATAATCTGTTTTCAGAAAGACATGCAGTTTTTTTTCATAAATAGTGCTCATTAAACGCAGAAAGAAAGTGAACACCACCCAGAATTTAGGTCCTAAGAAATAAAGCACTTCTAAACATTTCAAAGTTCCAAAAGAAACTATTCATATTTTTTAAGTATTTGTAACATTGAGCTATGTCATATAGAAGCATCAGTTAAAATGGCTAGGAAACAACTATCACTAAGGCAAACTATGATATATTAATTTCAATATTCCAGTCAAATCGGTGTACTCTCAGCTAACTGATTAGAAGATGCTTAATAAGACTAAAGAAGTTTAAGAGAGAATGTCAACATCCTCACAGAATTACAAACCTTTCCCTCTCACCAATTGCTTTGTGCAACTGTGATTCTAGGATTCCAGTGGGCAGAGGACATTCTCAATCTGGAAGAAATTCTGAAGTCATGTATTACTGACATAGCCAGCTGTAGGGATCCTCTCTAACCACCAATGTAAATACCACTACGCTGCATCTCATAGCAGAACAATCTCTGCTATGAGCTTTGGTGAATCACATGCTTCTCATTTCAAGGTTATGGTACTGCAACCCACTCTGTCCTGACTCAGGAGACTGAAGAGCTCCAAATTACATGGGATAGTCTATCTACTGATCAAAAGTCGTTTGCCCCTTAGCCCTCCAGACTCTGTACTGGCTCGCTGCCAAGCACAGCATCTATGTCAAGTTCTCTGGCCTGATGTTTAAAGCCATTTTTTTGGTCTGACTCGAGCTACCAGAGAGCCTTAGTCTACCAAAATGTTGAGCTCCTACAAGAGAAAGATTACTTTTTTTTCCTCTGAATACTGGGCACATAATTAAATATCACGGTTAAGGGGAAAGCATCATAAAAAAAGAGTGCATATTCAGTTTAACCAAGATGGGGGGAAAAAAATATCACTTATTAAAAATTAACTCACTAACGAGTGAAATAAAATACCTATGTAAAGGAAGGAGGGAGAAATTTATCTGTTTAAAGGAGTCCCAGAAGTAAAAAAGTATAATTGGTCCTAGAAATCATAATGCAATATTCAACTCTGAATTTCAGTTTGTAAGTGCTGTCTAATGACAGTTTATGGTTCAGCCACCATATGTACCAAGAGTCAGAAATGGCCCTTGCAGCTGTAGCAAACAAAAATCAGTAATCAGCTCTATTCTGGAAGTTTTCTAAAATACAGAAGCATTGAACAATGGTAGAAATGATAAAAACACTTCACCTATAACTAAAGAGGTGAATAACTAAAGAATATTAAATTTAAGAACACCAATACATGAACTTATTTTTTAGCAAAGCAGAACAGTCTCTTCAATCACAGAAGACTTTTCCCTGTATTACGGCCAAGCAGAGTACATAGATGAAGGCAGGAATATACCACTTATGCTATGGGTCCTTGGAAAGTCCTGATTAAGTTTACCAGGATCGCTGTTACCCTCACTGTAAGATCAAGACTACATTACGCCTTTCCTGGGATAAGGCCAACTTCCGCAGTACCTTAAGAATACAGAAGAAAAACAGTAGCAGGGAAAGCCTTAGAGGGAAGTGGGGTTATCCCAACGGCAGAATTTACCGTGGGGTTGGCAGCAATTTGACGATTCAACTCACAAAGGTATTAAAACAAACAAACATACATCATAGGGCTTATAATTCACTTCAACAATTTAAGGTTAAATTTGGTATTAACGGACCCGAACACCCAGAAGTATACACGTAACATTACGTTAACAGATTTAATAGACTATTTTTAAGATTGAACTTCACAATTTGGAAAAAAGCATTCACAGGGCCTTAAGGTCCTACGCAAAGACTACCGTAGACACAAAAGCAGGGTTTTTTAATCAGAATTACCATCTGCAGACATCTATGAGTACAACGTAACTTGTTAAAAGGCTGGGATCTTAGCCCACACTATTACAACTTTCAGGGTCACATTTTACAGACCTTCAGTATACTTGCTTCAGTGAGGAAAAAAATGAAACATCAGGAGTACTGCACTGTAGTCACTACAGCTATAGGAGAAAACAGTGTTATGGCCAGTGAGTAGAGCTCTCTTCCTCCTCAGTACCACAACTTGTTTCACTCACTCAACATACCCGCAAAAATAATTTTTGCTTTGTATTTTGGAATTCCTTTCACAGTGTATGCCCACTTTCGAGCCAGTTTACAGGCAGTTTCTCCGGCTTCCACTCCTGAAACATAAAGCAATACCATTATCATACTTTTATGTGAAACAGACCATTGATGCAGGACCAAACATTACAAGTGTTGACTCTCACAGATCAGAAATAAAACGGAGTGAGACTTTCTTTTTTTTACCTGTGTTCATTGGAAGAACTTTGTTGTAATTGAACATTTTGGTGACAAACTCCTCGTATTCACCAAGTACATCATTGTAGAATGCTCTAGATGTAAGGGTCAGTTTTTCAGACTGAGCTTTCAGAGCATTCACAATCTTTGGATGACAGTGGCCTTGATTGACAGCACTGTAAGCACTCAGAAAGTCAAAATATTTTCTGCCTTCAACATCCCATACATAAATACCTAGAAACATAAAGGTATGGTAAATACACAAAACAAAAGAAAACATTAACTAGTACTAAACGGTCTAAGCTAAGAGCTACAGAACAACCTGGTCAAACCCAAGTTGTATTTTCACTATTCCTTAGGACATACCTGAAAGGTACGCCCACAATAGGCGCTCTAACTGGAAATCAATTGTCAAGGAGAGCATAAGCAACAAACTAGTACAGTATAAACAAGTATAAATAAGTACCCCAACATGGAACCAAGAAAACAAGCAATTCCCCTATAAAGCTGCCGTTCCACTAAGTCAGTAAGCAGTGCAAGAATATTACGTCTCCTCAGAGTTTCTTTTTTGAGTCCTAAAAAGATGATAGGGAGGATGCAAGAGAACTGCAAGAGAACTTTGAGTAAATAACAGAGGTCATAAAATAATAATAAAATAATATAACAACAACAGCAGAATTTGAGCAGTCTCAGAACTTAAGGGACTGATGACTTTGAACAATCAAAATATGTTGTACTAATGAAGAGACAATTGAACCACTGTGCTGATAGTGTTTCTGTGTAAACTCATAGAATTTAACCTGCAAAGCAGAAAAGCTGTTTGAACATGGTTAAAGATCCAGAGTAAATTCCAATTAAGTAACAAAACAGCAACAGTACACAAGGACTAAAGGACAGGTCTAATACATCATTACATATTCACTTTAACACTGAAATTTTGGACGCAAGTTAGATAACAGAAGAAACAAAGCTGCTTGAAACTATTGCTGAGTTACTCTGAATTATCAAAGTTTTCAGATCGTCATTTCAATAAATCGTTTTAGAGAGAGTTTATTTTTTTTTCCATTTGTAATGATCCAATTCTCTGACCAACAATTAACTGCCTTTATTTCATCAATTATCTCAATCTACAAAAAGGTGCAGGAAGTAGTAAGGTCAAAGCATTATGCATACAGCACATCCCACCTACAGCACCCAGGGAAACCTAAACAGAATACCTTTTCCTTTTTCCAGAGCAACAGGCAGTGGGTGATAGTTGTGGGCACCATATTTAGCCTCACGTTCAAATATGTACTCAGAGGATGGAGGTCCTTGGACGGTTTTTTTAGTAGCAACTGAGGTAGCAGAACTCACTGAAGCATGAACACCTCGACAGAGAACAGTGACGGTCCGAGAGTGGGCTAGCTTGGAAAACATTGTTGACTTCAGGTATACTGTTATAGATCTGAAAAAAGAGTTAATAATTAGCACTAGCAGGTCTTCTGAAAAAATGCATGACGTGATTAAAGTGCTTTTACTGCCACGATTACAGGTTTCTCAACTCCTTTGCAACTCGATTAAGAAAGCTCATCTAAAGTACAAATTAATGTGATGCTACCATCAAATACAGAATTTTTGTATTTTAATGCACATTCACAGCTCTATAAAGAAGACTAAGACGTACAACTCGGCAAGTCGACAAACTAATCACAATTTTACCTGCCACACTGTTCCTTTTTCAGTCTGTCTTAACGTAACTAAATCTATTAACATAAACTACACTTAAGTAAAAAGGAAACAATAAAAAATTAAGTCCATCAAACTTCTTGTGCTACCGCAGTCCCTTTCATCCAATAAAAACTTCCTTAAGTGAAATCTTGACGGAGAATCATTAATTAAATAATATAATACTGCAAGAAGCATCTGACCTGAATACACTTAGCTGATAATCTTAATGAAATTTGATAAAGGTTAGACCACTTTTAAACTGAGGTCAGCTTTAAGAGGTAAGATTTGTGAGTTTTTACATAAGCTGCATTCTCCATGTTAAAACATTGCTACCTACACATAAAATACTCCCTGTTAGTGGCATTTTAAGTCAACAACAACAAAAACAGAAGAAAGTAGCTACACGCCAGATATCTTTACAGCACATTATATTTGCTAAGGAAAATTTGGTAATTCCCCTGAACACATAATCTTGTGCTATTAACATCTAAAGATCATCTGAGGTGCGTGGTTTCCTGAGACAAATACTCAGGAATATGTTATTCACATGAACTTCCATTGCATTTTTTTCCCCTTTATGCGCTCTTTCAGAGCGAACAAGTCAGTGAGCCTTCAAAAGGAGACTATAACCATGGTCTAATTCCTATGTGAGGAGCTCTGCTTGTGGAGGAACTGCACGGGAAAGGCTGGGGGATCGAAAAAACAATGGCTAGCACATTCCCTCTTCTCTAATTTACTTAGTTTGCTAAAACAGTTTCTAGCCTTACTGGTATCCACCTTTTCAGCGCTTAATATACCAATTGTTTTCGCAATGCATAGCCCTCTTGCTGTTTCCATAGGGCTTTTTGGCAGCTGGATAGAAGAGAGCATGTGATTTCTTGCAACTGGAGATGGCAATATCAAAGTGACTAGGATTTGGCACCAAGAAGGAAACATATCTCTGATTTCCCACTTTCTTATAAAGAGGGAACAGAGGTGAGAAGTAGAAACTGGGGGCTGGACAAGGTGAAACATGGTTCTGCCCAAATGCAACCAGCTCCCTTCCTCATGTCACTACCCAATAAAGAAGATGAGCATTTTAACCAGACAATTTTCCTAAGCTATTAATATCTTTATCACTGTTGCTATAGTTTATCGTGTAAGAAAATCTGAGTGCGAGAGGTACTTAGTATTTTCTCTCCATTCCTCTCTACTAGAGGATCTAAGGAGCCAGAAGTGTGTTTTGCTGCACTACCTAATGACAAAAGTATACTGTAAAACCTAACCAAACGATGCATACTAAATACTAACAGGAGAAGGCAGGGATAGCTTACACTAGGGGACTGCTATTTCAGGCTGTTTGCAGAGACGCAAATTTAGTATAAATCCATGACTTAACATTTATGTTAGGAGAGGACTGCACACAGGATGCGTCATCTTAAACAGAAAGGCATTTTTTTCAGCAGATGTCTCAGATATTATATTGGCACTCCTCGCTTCTAAGCGAAGCCAGAATATTCTTTTCCACGTTTACAGAAGTCAGCTAGGCCACTCAAGGCTTCAGGAGGAGTCAACAGTCTCCTTTCCAAGCAAGAGGGCTGTGCATCACAAAAACAATTGGTACATTAAGCACTGAAAAGGTGGATATCAGCAAGGCTAGAAACTTTTTAAAATAAACTAAGTAAATATTTGCAGTTTCTCAGTTCTGGGCATTTTACCAGCTATCACCAAAGCTGTTAAATATTAGTCATTTGCGTTAATACTTTTCAAGATAGTCATCGAAAGATTTTTCAAATAAAAAGAACACGTACTTCTTTATGCAAGAAAAATTTTGACAGAAATCCAGCTTAACTGCACCAATCAAAATTACAAGTTGCTTAACTCCTTAAATATAATTGGTCCGCGATATCATGGCCCCTCGACACACCTCCATAGCAGAGCAGGTAATGCTACCACAAACTTCCCTGGTTTTGGACATTTTCCAGACACTCCCAAAACGAAAGCTGTAAAGAGATGACATTCTCATCTGCCCCTTATTAGACAGGCACATTTCTGCAGGAAGAATTACAGACCACCCAGCGCGAGGCTCCTCTTTTATGTCCTTTAGGAAGGAAAACGTTGGTCAGGGATTTTTAAAAGGATTTTTCCCCTCCGTGGGAAGATATGCCATGCCTAAGTACGCTAGTGAGGTCGGATCATTTTAGCTGAGGCATGGGATGTTACAAGGATTAGGACAAAACGAAGCTGGGAATTCTGGACACATCGAGAGCAAAGCTGCAACGAAAGATCTCCGTCTCTGACCATCGGCAAGACAAGACTGACGGAACCTCAGTAAAGAGAAGAGGCACAGCAAGGGAAAAATAAAAACAAACAAACAAACAAAACCCTAGAAACACAGCATTAACTGTGAGGAAGACAGACATATGACTGTGCCACTCAGTATCAGAAAGCAAGGAGTTTCGTCAAGCGGAAAAGGTCTTGCATCAGAACAGAAGCGCTACTTAAAACGCAGCTGTGAAACGTATCTGAAGAGCTCTGCTCGGCGGTAAAGGACATTCAGGCAGGAGCCCTGCGCTTGCCCTCCTCACCCATCCCTTGCTCCCACTGAAATACACCCCGAGGTAGATGGGGGGGGGCGGGTGAAAACCCCCACCCACGCTGCTCACGTTTACGTTTATACAGCGCAGAAGAGCCCTGCAACCTTCACAAACGGCGCGCTACGCAGAAACGCGGGGGGGGCGCCCGCCCAAGAGGCCGCGCTGCGGCCAGAAAGAGCAGCGCCAGCCCGGGGGGCCGA